ACAAGATGTGAAATACGAAGAAGCTGGTTTTCAGTAAAAAGGGTTTACATCCTAACTCGAAAGTAAGCAGTGCAATTTCACTTCTCTTACAGAAAAGAACTTCTAGCGTTGTAGTTCTGAGGCTTACATGTTTCAATATATTGAGCACTTTTTATGATAATAGCAGAAGACTACATTTACAGCAATGTTTGTATAGATAATTATTAATGGCTACTTTTATTAAATCTTGCAGGCTCATTTTTACAGATTCACACAGGTATCAGAATAGTTGCATTTTCATTTTTTTGTCCACAAATTTTATACGCATTCCATCAAATCTACAGGTTTTACGTTGTAATTCACTATTTAATTAAGTAATTGAACAAACAGTTAGACAAACCCTACCACATCCCAAAACAAATACTTGTTGGTCACATACCTACACCATTAATTTAAATGGCTAAAATGTTTGTCATAGCCCAGCAATATTTGTACTGGTTTTCACCATGAAATGCAGCATGAAGTCTGAGAACATGTAACACTTATTTATATACGAGCTACTGGAGAATACTACTTTAGAAAATATGACAGGGTTCAACACTCAAAATTTCAGAAGCAACCACTACGCTGGCAAGAGTATTACTTAAAAATGCATGAATTTCCCATCACTCCAAATTCTACTCGCATCAGATGCTACCAGGAGTAGTTTGCTGCCATTTCTGCACCTTGCCTGAACACATTCCCTCTCTCCCACCCCAGCTTCTGTTAAAAAGAAAAAAAAGAAAAAATACTCATTAGATTTCTCTCTGTATGAGTGACCGACATTTTGCACACGCTAGAGCAATGTCATTCCACGTCTGTTAAAGCAGTCACTCAAGATTTTCTTAAAAGATCCAATATTCATCAATAGCACATTGAGGCATCACTTTTTGGCTATGACTAACACAAAACACGTCCTTGCCTCACCAGTGCACTCAATCATCCTGCAGATGACCACATGGGAAACAAGATTGAATCTAAGAGGATAGCCCATTTGCACAGAAAACATATTGCTGTTTTCCATTTCATTGGCTGCCGGCAGGAAGCGGCCCTGGTAATTGAAGGGGTGGAACTCCTGCATTTAAACCATTACCTCTGTAATGTTGTCTGGCACAATGAGAACTGTAGTGCTGACAGGGGGGTTTGTTGGGGTTTTTTTGGTTGGTTTTTGGGGGGTTTTGCCAATTCCCATTTTGCATACACATGCATATTTTATACACATGCAAATATGGATGTACAAATTTCTGCAGGGGGAGAACATGGATGTGTTTGGCTGTTTCTTATTTACAAAGAGCCAGGAGGATAAAGACTAAAGAGATGATCAAGAGCACACTGCACTGCCAGATATCACACAGTACGGCATGAGAAGTTATTAATCTTGTCTTTCTCTGGCTTTTCTTTTTGCAAGAACTTAATTGTATTGTAATTTCAGTTTGCCTAATAACGATGCATACCTCCATAAATCCCTCCTGCCATGAGCCACATATTCCTGGCATCACACACAAACCTAACAAGAACAGCCACAGCACCCTGGTGGGGTTTTGCCCCGCTGTTCAGCCACTGCTGTATGCATGTGCTACTGGAACGGCATTAAATTTACTGATAGAAATAATATGCAATGACAGTGCTTTCATTTACGCTGCGCTCAATACTGCCTTGATTGCTATTTACAACAAGTTCACTCCTTCAGTACAAACTCAATAACTACGTTCCGGTTTTAATTGTCTCAGTGCTCCAAACATTAGAAGTCAAAGGCTTCTGAATTTAGACCATTCCTTTCATACAGGCTTTTTATACTGTTGGTCTGTCTCTAAGATTAAAGTGGGGAGGTTAGCAATAAATACCTGATTTTATTTCTGATGATAGCAGGTAAAAGTACCTAACATTTGAGCTTACTACAGGACCCCAGATATGATCTTCTTTAACCTTCCTGAACAAACAATTGCGAGCATTTATGGCAATTTTTTTCTTCCAGATGGAAAATAGTTTGTCAGATCTGATGCCTTTCTGAATGTCTCATCTGAACATAAGTCATTGAAACAGGAAATTTCAGACATAAGTCCCACTGAGGCAGGAAGCAGGGGGTTAAAGAAAACAAACAAAATAAAACCAACACCACACATCACTGAGGATCCCTGACTGTAGATGTATTATGTTGAGGGGGGGAATGGCAGTCCTGCTGTATTTAAATTTAAAATATATTTGGGTTTTAACAACTGAATGTATTTTAAAATGTTTCTCTCCAGAAGTCCTGTATCATACCAGCAACAAAACCAAAACCTGCTTCGTTTAAAACTTTACAACCCATCCAGTAAAAGGGGAAATTCTTATTACTCCTTTCCTGCTCTGAAGCAGATTTTAGCAACAAAAAGAAGAACATCTTCTTACTCAGTATATCTCTTCCACATGTGTTTAAGTCATATCTGGTTCCTTTACCAACTAGGAACATCTATTTCTTTTTAAAACTCTAACCTGTTCACAGGATGTAGTTGTAGGTTGTAAGCTAGATTTCGTGGGGTCTCACAAGGCAGATGTTAAAGCGAACCGTTAAGTCTTTTTTGATGCACTGAAAAGTTTGTCAGAGGAAAACAACTGCTTAACTTTCAGATTCCCCCCCCAAGTGTTTCCCACTGGCATGGGAAAGGTCAAGAAATCACATTTTCAGATATGAAGGGCATAAACTGAATCCACTGAGAACAGATGAAACCTTACAAATGGAACTGCTACTGTTATCTCTCGAGCATCATTTTTAATGTTTTTTCTTCTTTCTAAGTGTATCCACCAATAGGAACAGAAGCCAAGAGTTTTCTGTTACAAGGGTTTATTGCATTTGTGGGCCGACATTTCACCACCACAGGGAAGGATGTCTGGGGTGTCTGTCTGGTCTATTTACTCTTGTCATAAAAAGCAAGAGCACTATTGGGGATTATCTAGAAAAGGTACTTATCCTGTAACACAGGACTTAGTCCTGGTTTACTTTCCAAATATGAATTTCACTTTTTTTTTTTCCAAAGAAAGGAAAAAACAGCAAGCAAAAAGAGAAAAAGAAAACCCACTTAAATTATTGGTCACTCACCACTGCCCAAGTCAACAAATAAATCATCCTCTGTCATTTTAATTTCATCTATCATTTGGGCCACTAAGTCAAAGGAAGTTTCTCCGTAAACCTCTGGGGAAAAGGGCTCATAGTTGTTCAGTTTCTCTGGATCAGTCACCGAGTGGTTATACACTTGCTGCAGGATGTGCCGGAGGAGCCCGTTGGAGGGACGAGTGTTCAGTTTCATCGGTTGGGTGGTTCCCTTCCACTAAAAGTAGAGAGCAGGAAGAAGATATGAACCCAACGTGAGGACAAGTAAACGTCACCAAAACAAGGCTGCATTGGCATAACAGAAGTGAGAGAAATTCCCTCCCACCCCCTCCCTCACAGGCTGGCCTGCATGTGCTCTGTAAAGATAAAAAACAGTGAACGATACTAAAGAAATTACACAACACCTATGCTTTGTCTCACCTCAACTAATAGGCAAGTTCAAATACGCCTGCTGGAAATAGGTGGTAAAGGGGAAATGAAAGAGATGTAAAAATCAATAGGTAATGTAGAGCTTAATACTGAATATGGCTGGAGCAGATGTAAAAGTTTATTCGCTCATTTTTTATTTACTGATCACCACGGAACTGATGTTGACTGTAGTGTCAACGTAAGAGCAGTTTGATTTTCTTTCAGGAACTGTAGGATGGGAGGGATCATATGTACTCAAACAGGGAGTGGCAGGAAAGAGATGGAAATCAAACTTCCTTTCTTCTTCAGAAAAAACCCTGTCCTAAACATAAAAGTTGTTAAGCTTTAAAAAATGTTTACTTCTCCCTCTGATAAGAAACAAAAAAAGGACGACTCCAGGATCCCTCCTAAACATCCTTCTGTTTGACATTCAGATGGCAAGAAAATGAAACTAATCCGGTTTGCCATTTCAGACGACAGCAATTGCAAACACTGAATAGCTTCACATTTTTAGCTATTAACCAACATACACATGAAGACACCCAAATCCAAACACACACAAGTTTTAGGGAGTTGTAGGCACACAAAGTGAAGGAAAGCCTGGCAAAAATGTCTTGTTGCCATAATGCTGCGTGCTTGAAATAATTCCCACAAGCACAGCAGAGAAAAAAATCCACCTATGCTTTCAAAATTAAACAGAATAGTCACACTAAGTCATTGTTCATGCTTTGCTTCCTCCAATTCAACTTTATAAGGGTAAGAAAACCAAAAAGCTTGTTAAATTGGTCTGAGAAGAGATTACATTCTAGCTTTGCCAGAATGATCCCACAGAACAGAGCGGCTGAACTGAGTGGCAAGCAAGGAAATTCCTAAGCCATGGATCACTTCCACAATACACAGGAGAGTTCATATGGATTATTTAAGTACCCATAAGCCGCAGATTTCCCCATGCAAAAGTAAATCAATATGATATATCCCTGTGAAACATCTACATGCTAAGGGCAGAGAAACTTTTTCTTCCCCCTAAAGGTAACTCAGCTATTTCAAAGTGCCAGAAACATGGTGCCAGAAGTGCACACTGAAGGGTAATAGCTTACAAATCTGCAGTTCGGGGGGGAAAAAAACCTCTTTTTTTTTTTTTTTTTATTTTCTTCCTATAAGAATGCCCCTCCAATACCAACTCCTTGACTGCCCAGGTGTGATCAAGAAAAAAGGTTTAATATCAGACTTATTAACTCCCCAAAAGAATGGAGGTGCCGAATACTGACTGGACTAACTAGACTAACACATACAATCCTAACACAAAACTAGACTAACACATATAATCCAGCACTAAATCAGTCACTGCTTTCTGGACATTATTCACTATATGTGAATTCAAACCAGCTAGATAAACATCGTGGTGCATAACAAAGGTAAATACGTACCAACTGATGGATGCTATCAATGGCTCGGTTGTACTTGTCACAAAGCCTCTGCATGCTTTCAAAGCTACGTGGGGAGAAAGAATGCAGGGTCAGTTAAAATCAGAGAGCTCTAAAAGGCAGATCTGAAGGTACAACCTTGTGCTTTTTCACCACCTACCTACAGCATGTACAATGACTATTTAGGGTTTGTTTCTTGCAGAACATGTAATAACACACACAGCTTTAGGACTTGGTATACAGTTTCCTTTAAAAAAAATCCCCAGTAGACCAGGAATACATGGCAAATAATATTAGTTTCTTAAATTAATGGAAAAAGGACTGAACTCAAAGTATGACTTCTTAGAAAGTTTAGTATTCTCATAGTCCGTTGCTTCTTTTCCATATTCTCAGCTGCACAGAAATTTAAGACATCTGTAAATCTTTCTCCTTTGTTTCATCATCTCTCCATGATAATCAGCCCTGAGACAAGTAGATAGTCTAGAAATTCACTCTGGGACTGAAAATGCAGACAGACCCATGACACAATCTAAAATTTCACCCATCAGAAAAGCATACTGATTGCTTCACGGGTCGGTTGGGATTACAGTCAAGTCAGGCAGATGCCTTAATGACAGAAGCTGAGAGGATTAAATAAATTCATCTCAGGCCAGGGAAGAAAAGATATTACTAGGTACATCATCTGCTACGTAATCGGACCCACAAAGCAGCAGCAAAGAAAAACAATCCAGGGAGTTACAGGAGTAAATAATTAAATCATGGCCATCCCCAAATCAGGAAGGGGGCGGGGGGGGGCAGGGGACATCAGAAGGAAGCAGCTCTTCGGTCTCTTGTGATCCTCATCACCACTACCCCAGCTAGAACACTTCTCCGAGGAGCACTGCTGATTTCCAGTTCAAGCTTTCAACATGTTTATTTCCACATTAAGACAAAGCAAGAGGCTGAAATGGGGTTTTGTCTGCACAGCACGTGCATTTCTATAATCCGCTGCTTTTCATTCACATCCATGTGTCAATCTATCTGCTACAAGTAATTTTTCTGACGAATTTTTTCAAAGGAACTTAAAAGACTTAAAACCATTACCAAAATTACAGGTTTATGAATTCCTTGAAAAGCTGCAGAAAGATAAGTGGGGTGTGACTTTTAGGAACAGATGGGTTTCTCTTTCATTCGGTATCGCTGCCGACCACACTGACGCTAGCCAGCTAAATGTGCCCAGTGAGGATGCCAGAACCACAAAAGTTACAGCATTGCCGTCACTGTGAGTATTCTGCAAATCCAAATTAATGGATTTGATGACAAGGGATGCTCGACCCTGATTCCACTTTTTGAATTTTCCAGGAGGAAGAGAGGGATTAACAAGTCTTGCAATGAAACAAAACAAAATTAAAAGAGGAGAAAACAATACCTTAAGCAGACCCTGATACAAGTATCTGGCGCTCAGGACAATAGCTAGTGATTAATTAGAACGATGCCATTTCATCTGTAAACCTCATTCTAAAAGTTTACTCATACTGCGGACTTCAACAAATTTAGTCTTTGCCATGAAAGCAGCCAAGGAGGTTTTTGTAAACAGCAGCTTGAGGGTCATCTCTTTTTCCAGTTTCAGTACAGCTGAGTCAATACACCGAGCCTCAGACTTCTCCACAGATACACCGCAGGTCAGAATCCACCTCTCCCAGCCTCAAGGTGAATACCACATACTATAGAGTCATTTTAAGCTGTTTGTGGAAGAGGTATTCACATGTAACTACAAGCATCTTAAAATTACTTCTAGCTGCCCAGAAGAGTGGTATGAACAGTGTGCCTTTTAATTTAGCCCCCCACCCAAGCAGCATCGCGCTTGGACTGAATCCTACCCAGAGAAGGGATGGGGAAGGTTAACCTCCCACAGCCATGGCAGGCAGAGGACACGGTGCTGACAGGCAGCTCTGGCATGCCACTTTCTAAACAGGAATTCTTAGTTACTACAGAAGTAGAAACCTCAGTGCCATTCAGATTCCTAACGCTGGACGCAGTCCAACAGCGCAGATACCGATCATTGTTTCGGAGTGAGTAATTCCAACGTACACCAGAGCTCAACTTTCTGCTGTGTGGAGTTTCCAATTATGTCCTTAATCCAACAGCCTTTGCCAATATTTCTGTTACACATTTCCTACCAAAATAACTCTGCAGAGTCTGAAGCCAGTTCTAAAAGAAAACTTCAGTTCATAGTGTCTAAGAATAACCAGTTACAAACTGATTCACTATAAACCATGCTGGCCTGTCCTCCTGATGGAGAAAAAAAAAAATATTCCTCTCACCTTTTTGTATCATAGTCAATTAAAACATAGTTTTCCATAGCAAGCTTGAGATCTGGGATTTCTTCGCAGACCCACCTGGAACAAGAGAAGAAATAACAAATAAAAACATCTCCAATTAAGTATAACAAGGCAGTCTGTCTCAACTCTAGATTGGCATTGCTATGTGTTAAGACAGAATACTGCAGCAGACCTGAAAGACCACAATGTCGTTAGGAGGAAGGCAGACATCATCAAACACTAATTGGAAAGCCACAATAGTTCGCATTTGTATGGAATAAACAGTAAGGTGCCCGTAGACATTGGCAGCAGTATAAAGCTCTTGAAATGGCACAACTTCAAAATGAGGCGATAAACGTATTCGATGCGTCTAAAAATACTCAAAGCCATGGCTGATGCTAATCTAACGTAAAATGTAATGCAGAAGTGCAATATTCCGAAAGAATGCTGATACCGCTTTGCCAAAGCTGAATGTGGGGAAGACATTGTCTACAGCACCCCAAAACAATGCCACCACCCATTCACTGCAAGGATACTCCCCTCTGTGTAGTGCTCTAAACTGCTCTTACACCTTAAATGACCCAACCCAGAACAGATTTTTAAAAGCTGTTTTGATAAAAAAATCCCTTTTACATGCCGAGTTAAAGCCCCGTATGTTGTTGCCTTAGAAATGGAAAGTGCGCACCCACTTGCAGCGCATCTGACAATGGCATCTCACAGAAGAGAAGATCTTCACTCTTGGCATGTAGGAAGATTAATTCCTTCCAAAGGCAACTCAAACGCCACATAAGTTTTGCACACACTTTCCTCCAAAAGCATCAAAATGGGAAAGCATTGTCATCATTGGAAAAGTTCAGAGTACATCATAGGATGAATTCCGATAGGAACGGCAGAGTTTCTTCTTCATGCACCTTGATGCATGCTTCACTATTAAAATGGTGGGAAAAAAACCACTAGAGCTCCAACAGTTCTGGTTCTTTCCGGCTGATTGACCCTTATCAAATAAATACACAGGCAAGTAAAAAACAGAACTTAATATCTGCGGTGACTCTTCTGACTAGTATCTCCCATCTCCCTAAAAATGCTAGGACTCTGATCTCTGCGATTTTTTTTTTTTCTCTCAGATCAGGGAAGTGGGCAGTTCTTTACCACCAACCTGAAGAGATAAATACTTCTTTTCATTCTTTTACCCACCACTTTCATAACCACATTGCAGTTACCTTGCACAAGGCAGGCAAAGGCAGCATGAAAGCCTTCTAACACACTGTATTCACTGCAATCGTGCTTAAAACACAGTTGTGAAACATTACTTTGGCCCAACTGTTTCCTAACACTGTTTTCCCCTTGCCTGCAAGCTAGCGTAGCACAGAAAGCACGAGCACCGATGACTCCAGCGATCACTTTCAGCACTGTGTCTGTTTAAGTCCCTTCAGAAAGGGTCTTCTCAATAATTCTACTGACAAATGATGCCACAAGTTCCCAAGGCACAGAATCTTAGCAACATCGGTTCAAGTGAACTGGAAGTAGCAGTGGCAGCGCATCTTGTGTCAAGGCTTTGTAGTTAGAAATTCCTTTAGAAGAAAAATTCTCAGCTCTAGCCCCTAGCCCCGTTACGCATTCCCTCCCACCACAGACCATGGGAAAATGCTATGATTTCATGTATATAAGCAATATTATTCAACACTGCCATGCAAGCAGTTCACACTCACGCTCAGGCTAGGAGCAACCAAGGCTCACTACCTTTTCCTAGGCCATATGGGACCAAACGTCAAGCTCAGGTGGCTATGCAGGTAAAACACTCATCTTTGTACCTCACCTGTATCTGCGCCATCCAACCATTAAAACCTGCTGCAGATACAGCCCTCAGACAAGGGAAGCCTGCATGGTAAGGATCTAAAACAGTTAACAGGAACAGCTTTTAAACAGTCTAATGTGGATAACACATCAACATCCCTCAGGTGTTTGGGGAATTTCTGTGAGCATTTAATAAAAGTTGTTCTACAGCAAAAGCCCCCTAATCCTGCTAAAATAACAGCAAACCATGTCATAACCACCGCCGGTGTTGGGAAATGCTCAGACTTCCTACTCTTTGTATTTGTCTTTCACCTTCACCCTCCATTTTTCCCACATTGGTCCAACTCTATCAGCAGAATTAAGAAGAATGCTAACAGGGACATCATTCCCAAATAACGCAAATGCTAACAATGCTGCAGTGTCACAGCAGCAAGGGGAAAGGGTGAGGCTGGGGAAGAGGATATGCAAGGCCAGAACGTAACACATGCCAGTGATGTTTTCTTAACCTTGCTTTTCTAAAGATGGAATACAGACTGCCACAAGCACCAAAGTTGAGTATCACTACTCATTTTTAATTCTGTTCAAAAGAGAATAGAATATGGCAAGTTAAAGCAAAGTCTGTTTGACAGGGAGATTTATATTGCAACACTATCAGTTCAGCTTAGAAAATAATTTAGAGCTGCTAAATTATGATTATAACTGCTGCCCTCCTATATATCTTCTCTTAAGACATCCACTTGCTGAGAGGCAGTAAGACACAGGAAAGGGTTCTAGCCACATCTGCATTGGATACTTACCGAATTGTCTCAATAATTTCGTGAGCAGCATCATGGTGTTTGTCCTAAAATAAAAAGAAAAGAGATGTTTTCAAAAAGACATCAGGTATGCTGTTTGTCTGAATATGACAGGAATCACAATCTTTTAAAAAATACAGGTGGCAAGCACACTAGGAAAGGAGTCTTTGATTGCCACCCAGGCCGTTAAACCCATCAAAATCACAGAATCACAGAATCGTTTGGGTTGGAAAAGCCCTTTAAGCTCACCAAGCCCAACCATTCCCCCTAACCCTGCCATCCCACCCCCAAACCCCGGCCCTCAGCACCGCCTCTGCCCGGCTGTTAAATCCCCCCCGGGCTGGGGACTCG